CAATACCAAGGACCAGGTAGACCAGCAGCCAATCTCTGTTATTGTTGCTACTCCTGCTACTCCTGATCCTGCTAATTCCGGAACTATAGCTGCTACCACGCACCACAGCTGTTGGTGACCCTCAGACAGCGGCAGCAGCAGCAGCTCGCCATCCGTTGTTCAATTTTCGCCAAGCATACACCGCGTACACCACATACCACTCCGTACAGCATCCGTACACTCGAACTCCTGCTAGACGTTCGCTCGGCTGAGCTCTCTTAGACTTCAATTCATTCACAACAACTCCCATGTTTCCAGATTGCACGTACAGACATACAGACATATATGTTTTGTTTGTATACATGCGCAATACCATGCACCCCCTTAGGCTATCGCCGCATGCAAACCTCTTGGAAGCCGGCAGGCAGGCAGCCGGTGGTGGTGGGGATGGTGAAACGCACGGCTGCCGGAGGTCCGCCCGTAACCGGATATCATGATAAACGACATACGGACATACATACTTACATACGTACATTGATAATATAAAAATTGAGGCAACGCAAAGAGGCTGTCAGATGGAGGGGTTCTCGCCCCGGGCGCCATCTGCTTGGGTGTAGTACTCTGAAGATATTGTGTTGTCATCACTCTACACCCGTCTAATGACGCATTTCTGAAGTATTATAAAAACATAATTGGAATTGTGAAAATATCTATGTTTAAACCTGTGATCGAATCCCAACGGAGGCGGATTCGGCTGAACGGGCGTTTATGGGCCACGTGAACGATGGTTATAACCAGGTAATTACCTTGTGGGTGCTGCCAAATCATCGGGATCCTAGGCTAGGCTCCAGGGAGAGCTCCCCCTCCTGCTTGAGGGGAAGGGGATAATTGTGATGTCCTCGGGGGGGCAGGGCTTATCACGGGACCTGCATCCGCCGATCGGTGCATTTCTGAAGTCCTGGTATAACACTAGACATTGTTGTTGTTGTTGTTGTTGCTGCTGCCACTATTATTGACGACGTCACTGCTGCTGCTGCTGCTGCTGCCCGCTGCCCTGCGCCTCAGCAGGACCCCATCGTCGCGTCCGCCGCAACAGCGCCGACGTCGCTGTTGCGTAAGTCGTTGTTGTCGTTGTGACAAAAGTTCAGGTACGTTTTCATGTGACCTTTGCCCTTGACCTACGTAAACACACACAGCAAGACGTAATCGATATAAACAATACAACACCGATAAACAGCAGCTAAAATATTTACGATGTGATGTGGTGTGATGTGGTGTTGTCTATACGGTATTACGTGGTGTGGTGTGGTGTGGTGTGGTGTGGTGTGGTGTGGTGTGGTGTGGTGTGGTGTGGTGTGGTGCCAGCTTAATACTTCAACCTAGCATAGCATCATTTTGCCGTACGTTTGTGTCGTACACCCAAGATGGCAGGGAAAAGTTATCGCAAGATTTCCATTCTCCCATACTCCACACAAACCACGTTCCGAATTCAAACTTAAAAAAGTCATGCCGCCCCATGAGTTGCCACTGTTAAAGCTCGTTTCGTTTGGCGCACGGAAAGACACGTGTACGCTGTGTACGGTGTTGAGGTGTGCTGTGCTACCAATACACTGTCGTACCTCAATGCCACCCGTGGGTGCCCACCCCGGCAGGCCCTCCAAGTGGATGTACGTCATCTCGGAAACGTGTACGGCACCCGGGACTCCCGTACTCTCCATGCGTGATGCCGTGTTCACAGTATCCCCTACATTCACACACACACACATAATCGTACATGGCATGTGACCTAAATACGCCACCTACCGCCGACGCCACATACACCTTTGCGTCAACACGTCAGACGTCCAGCGTACGGATAAATGTACGGCACCAAATGCATCATAACACACACGCACCCGTGGGTCCGCAATAAAGTGGAGCTGGCAAAAAGATATCGCAAAAGATATCCTCCTGCTTCATTCCCGTTATTCCCACATTCCCCCTCTGCTCCCCTAAATACGATGCGTCCAGGTCCACAGGTCCCTCACCTCTGCGCCTCACCTTCCCGCACCCCTCACCCACCACACGTACCCACCCACCAAAGAGGCAGAACCGCGGCATTCGGGTGCCCACCACACCGCTGACCACGGGGCCGCTGTGGACTCCGATTCGAATCTGGACGGGCCGCCCCGTGCTGGGGATGATCACCTCTCGAGCAGCAGCCAACATGTGCTGCATGTGAGGGGGAGGGTAGAGGTAGAAGAGGCGGGGAAGGGCTTTAGGAAGGCAAGGGCAGAGGGAGCAAAGGGGATGAGGAGGGAAAGGGTTAAGAGCGGGGCGGACAAACAGACAAACAGACAAACTGGCGGGCCTTTTGGCGGTGTCTGGGGTCGTCCTGGAACGTGTGAACATATCTATGGGCTGTATGTCTGTATGTGTGTGTATGTCTGTATGTGTGTGTATGTCTGTATGTGTGCGTGTTACATCACCATATGCGTGAGTATGTGTGTGTTACGCTTTCTGGAGCTGCGTTATTCTCCCGCCGTGTTTCTCACGTCTGTATGTATGTATGCACGTATGTGACGGTAGCTCCGGCCCCCCCCTCAGGAGCCCCAATGGTGGCCCCCCTCCCCTCCCCCCCCGCCTGCAGGGCCCTCGTAACTACTTCCCGCGCTCAGCACCGTACCGCACCTGTGCAAACCTGAACACCTGTACGGCGTGCTGCCGCATGTCACAGCTGCTGCGGGACCGTACGGTGGTCATGCCGTCCTCGTCCGTTTCCACCAAACCCCCCGCCACGAAGTAGCAGTCGCCGATGGTCTCAACCTGAAGGGGGGAGAGCAAGGGGGAGGGGGAGGAGGGAAAGACGAACCACACGCGATTTAAGCTGCTGCCAGGGCAAGAAAGTAGCAACCGAAAGAACTGACCGAAAGGCGTCCGTGGCGACTGTGACGACTGTAACCTCGGGATGACGACTGTAACCTCGGGATGAAGAATTGACGTAGAAGTAGGAAGTCCTACCTACCTAAGCCGCCAGAAATATTATAGCCAAACCGTAAACTAGTAGGTGTAGAAAAAGTAGTGAAGTTGCTGGCCAGGAGAGAAAGCTGCATTGCTGATACTGAAGGGCTGCCGGTATGCAAGTGTTCCTCCCAACCCCCCAAAAAAACTAGGACGCGCGACTGACCCGACCAACCCAAACTAAACTATTCCGGCTAGCCTACCGACGCCAACGCGAAATACCAAAGAAGCTCGAACCAACTTATTGGACTCACCTGGCCAGGCAGCAGGAGCAGCGGGCAAAGGCACATGCGAGGCAGAGAGGTGGCAAAATCGTGAGCCGCGAACGAAAAAACAAGAACTCATGCAGATGCTGCTGAAAAGGCGTATAAAACTTGCTGACCGGGGAAGCTGGAATGAGAAAACCTAAAGAAACTATATGAAAATGGAAGAAAAGTCAGGAAGTAATAAAGAATTGCAAAGGCGGCGTAGGACGACACAGGTGGTGTCGTACGAGATGACCTAGTGACGCATTGGACGGGATGACGCATGGGACGGGATGACGCATTGGACGGCGTGTACGCCGGTAGAACAGGGTGAAGGCAAAACAGGGTGAAAGCAAATAGGGAAGTAATAATAAGAAACAAAAACAAAAAACAGAGGGGGAGGAG